CGCCCGGCTCGCTGGCGCTCTACTCGTGCCCGGCGTACGGCGCGTCGGCCCTGGCGGCGCCGCGCAGCGAGGAGCTGGCGCGCTCGGCGTCGGGCTCGGCCTTCAGCCCCTACCCCGGCTCGGCGGCCTTCACGGCGCAGGCGGCCACGGGCTTCGGCAGCCCGCTGCAGTACTCGGTGGACGCGGCCGCCGCCGCCGCCGGCTTCCCGTCCTACATGGTAACCGGGCGCGGGGCGCGGGGCAGCGGCGGGAGGGCGATCGGTGCGCCGAGCGGGGTGCTCCGGAGCGCGCGCTGGCACGTGTACCCTGCGCCGTGGCTCCTGGGCTCTGAGACATTTTTCAAGAGCCTGGAAAGTGCGCTTTGGCCGGGCTTGGGGTCTGTTGGGAGTTGTCCTCGTTGTTCGCCCGCGGCAAGCTGCCTGAGTCCAGGGCGACCTGGGGGCGCGCCCGCGTCTGCTTGCGGCGCTGCTCGGGTCTGGGGGAGATCACGGGGGTCTTGCATTTACTTTCCGGACTTGAGGCTGGGCGGCACCCGCGTTCCGAGAGGGGTCCGGCCACTCAGAGGCAGAGCCGGGAGTAGCAGAGTCCGGGTCCCCGCCAGGCGCGCCCGGGCCTGGGCTACCGTCTCTGCGGCGGCCTTGATTTCGAGAATTGTGCGGCCCCAAGTGCCCCATCGCTCATCGGCCACCAAAGCAGCTGGTGTCCCCCCGACCTTGCATTGGCCCACGCGCTTCGTGGGTCCTCCGCTGGGCTGGGCGGTGGCTAAACGCATTTAGGGTAACCAAGGCCATCCAGGGTGGAGGCGGGGGGGGGGGTGCGCCCCTGCTGCTCGCCCTCGAAGGAATTCCAGGGAATCTGCGGAAGAGGAGCTGGGACTTGGGGAGATCTGCAAAAGCGTCCAATTTAAACGTTAAAGACTGAATTAAAATGCTAATTACCGCTTACTTGAAGAATTCGAAAAGGTGCTTGGCTTCTGAGTTGCAAATTGGATTTGTGGAGCGTTAGCCTAGTGAATGGGCTGTGGGGGTTCAGGGTGATCTTTTTAACCATTTAAGGGCGGGCTAGGGGATCCGGAGGTAGAACTCAAAATTTAAATGTCCAAAAAGTACCTTTGGGCCTGCCGTCTTGAGCGCTTATGTCCCTATGACTGAGGTCAGATGGAAAAATGAAGTGTCCTCTAATTAAAGTGAAATAGTCCGAATGTTCAAGAAAATAAAACCAGGTAGAAGAGCACTTTTAGGATTGACTTCAGCCCCCAGATGACCCTCTGTGTTTTTCTCGCTCCTCTGCCTTGGGCGGAGGAGGCTGTGGGGAAGGCGCTGGGCTGGCAGCGGATCCCCGCTGACTGACGCCTGGAAGGTCACCGTGCGCCCCACTCACCAAGTTCTTGTCGATTCCAGGGCGCGCCCTATGATGCGCACACGACCGGGATGACGGGGGCCATCAGCTACCACCCTTATGGAAGCGCGGCCTACCCTTACCAGCTCAATGACCCAGCCTACCGCAAGAACGCCACCCGGGACGCCACGGCCACGCTCAAGGCCTGGCTCAACGAGCACCGCAAGAACCCCTACCCCACCAAGGGCGAGAAGATCATGCTGGCCATCATCACCAAGATGACCCTCACGCAGGTCTCCACCTGGTTCGCCAACGCGCGCCGGCGCCTCAAGAAGGAGAACAAGATGACGTGGGCCCCGAGGAACAAAAGCGAGGACGAGGATGAAGATGAGGGCGATGCTGCGGCGAGAAGCAAGGAGGAGAGCCCGGACAAGGTGCAGGAGGGCACGGAGACCTCCGCGGAGGACGAAGGTGAGTGGAGCCGCCTCGCGCGCGGCCCGGGGCTGGAGCGCTTTCGTTTCTTCCCAGGCGGGTGCACAGTTGAGGTCAGAACGGGCTCAGGCCCTGCGGGCCCCAGGACAGGTTCTTGGGGATGGCTGGCTCCCCCTGACAGGTGGCTGGGCTGGGACAAAATTAGGGATCTTGGAGACCCGAGGTTCCCCCTACCCCACCCCGTCGCCACTCTGTGCCAGCACGGTAACTGACCGACTTCGCCCGCGTCCCTGCAGGGATCAGCTTGCACGTCGACTCGCTCACGGATCACTCCTGTTCAGCTGAGTCGGACGGAGAGAAGCTGCCCTGCCGCGCCGGGGACCCCCTGTGCGAATCGGGCTCCGAGTGCAAGGACAAATACGACGACCTGGAAGACGAAGAGGAGGACGAAGAGGAGAGCGAGCGGGACCTGGCGCCCCCGAAGCCGGTGACCTCTTCGCCCCTGACCGGTGTGGAAGCGCCTCTGCTGAGCCCTCCGCCGGAGGCCGCGCCCCGCGGTGCCAGCAAGGCGCCCCTGGGCAGCCGGACGTCGCCGGGCGCGCCGCCTCCCGCCAGCAAGCCCAAGCTGTGGTCGCTGGCCGAGATCGCCACGTCGGACCTCAAGCAGCCGAGCCTGGGCCCGAGCTGCGGGCCTCCGGGGCTCCCGGCCGCGGCCGCGCCAGCCTCATCTGGGGCGCCTCCGGGCGGCTCGCCCTACTCGGCCTCCCCGCTGCTCGGTCGCCACCTCTACTACACGTCGCCCTTCTACGGCAACTACACAAACTACGGGAATTTGAACGCAGCGCTGCAGGGTCAGGGGCTGCTGCGGTACAACTCTGCAGGCGCAGGCCCCGGCGAGGCGCTGCACGCAGCCCCCAAAGCCAGCAGCGACCTGGGCAAAGCAGGCGCGCACCAGCTCGAGGCCCACTACAGGCCCCCGGGGGGCGGCTATGAGCCCAAGAAAGGTAGGTCTCTGAGCTCCGCGGGGGACCTGGGGGGAAGGAAGCAACCCCAGCAGGAGGGGGAGAGGTGGTCACATGCAGAAGGAACTTTAGTCATTTCAGGGAGAAAAGGGAAAGAAAGAAAACAACAACAAAAAACTTCACAAGCATTTGACCTAGAACGTGGAGAGGTGGGCAGCTAAACCAAGAGGGAGAGGAGAGACTGATTCTGGCCTCTTTCAGGACCTAAGCCATCCCCAGATGTATTTCACATCTCATTACCACTATTGTTATTACTAATCTTATTATCACCAGCACTGGTCTCACGTTTGTTTGTTAGCTGTTTTCTCTCTTTCTTTTTTTTTTAAGCCAACTGTAAATTGCTACTAAAGGCAAATTACAGCCTGTGGCCCTGCCAATGCAGAGTAAGGGTGGCAGGTTTTATTGGTTAAGTGAAATCACAGCCAGGTTGCCTTTCTACCTTTGGCTGTGAGGAAACCAATGTTCTCAGAGGCTGGACTTGTTCAACCTGTCAATGAGCGAGCGGGCCATCTCCTTCTCACTGCCCTTTCCACACCACAGTGCTTTTGTGGGCCTTGAAGAGTTGAGCTGGGAATAGCTTGGAAGGGGACTTGAGGGGAAGAAGAAAGGAGAAACGGGGAACTAAGTGGGACCCCTGGCCAGGCTGTGCTTCTGGGGAACAGGCCTCCTGGATGTGGGAGTTTGTAGTCAGCTGGCCCTGAGTTCTAACTGCTGCCTCCCTGACCCCACAGATGCCAGTGAAGGCTGCTCAGTGGCTGGGGGCATCCAGCCCTACCTATAGAAGGCCAGTGTGTACACATCAACACAAGTAAGTAGGCACTAGACAGCGACTTTCGGGCCAGTTGTGCTGTAGACTTGCTTAATGTGTATGATCTGCCCTGTGCCTAGGAGCTGGAGAACAGAGCTTTTGCAATCTTCTCTGCTCTTGTTTTCCTTTAAGGAAGAAATCACCCATTCTGTCTTCTAGAATCTCTCTTGTTCCCTCAAGATTTTTAAAAATTTTATTTATTTTTATATACACATATACAGATATTATAATACACAGATATATTTTTAAGAATCACTTTCTAACTGAAATATATTACTGTACTATGAATTGTCTCTTTAAAACATATGCACACAGAAGACTATTAAAACCTGGACATTTAGATTTGATTTAGAACCATTTTCGCTATAGAGCAGGTCCATGATAGAATTCTGTTTTTTATGTGGTCATGCTACTGAAATTTTGAGTATCTGCGGAGACATTTATTAATGATGGCTGCAGAATCCAGCTGAGGTAACATGAAGAAGCACTAGTCTCTGATCAGTCCAGATGGGCAAAACTGGACACTGAGGTTCGCCTGGCCCGAAGCACGGTCTCCAGAAAAGCATTGCAACCAGGCACAGTTGCTAATCTCAGCTCTAGGGGGTGGGGAGGAGATGAAATCCTTTTAGACCCACCACTTGGTGTTTTACTCATTTGGTTTTTGTTATGTGATGATGTTGGCATGGAACTGAAGGATTTGGGATGATTTGGTGTTTTCCTTGGTCCACAGGTAGGTGTCACAATTGCTTTGAAAAAATTAAAAAAAAAAAAAGTCAGCAAACCAGCTTCCCAAGCTAATTAATATACAATATAAAGACCAGATCTCTTAACTCCGGATCGCATCTCGTGCCACTGTAATTGAGAAGACTCTACAAGACACTACCACGCCACAGACTCTAATGATTAGAACAGACTGTTGTTGGGCATATGTGAATTTGTTGGCCTAGTATAGCTTTTCTCCAATGTACGTGTGACTTTTGCAAACAATCTGTTTTTTTCCTCAGGATATCTTGAATTGATCACTTCATTGCCACGGTATATATTCTATAGATGTGATAGGATTGACTGTAAAATTTATTTGTAAAAGATGTACACAGTAGAAATAATAAAAAAATGTGATTGAAGAACTTGAGTACTTAAGAAGTGGAAACAAATTTGATATTTATTTTTATAATGATATAAAGCTTCTAGTAATTTATGCAAGTTGTATTGCAATGGAATCTAAACTTTTTGTAAATAAATTCTGCCTGGTTTTTATTTGAACATTGCTGGTTATACAATCTTTGTTGGTTGTTTAACAAGGATTCTTTACTAATTTATATCTTAAATTGTAAATAAAAACAGACTAGTCTACAACAGTTTGGCGCCTGGGTTCCTTTTTTCCTGAGAGTGTGTCCTGGAGAGGGAGCCCTCATTTTAGTCTTCTGAGAGGGGCGATCTGACCTCAGGCCATTTTATAAAAATATGTGAAATGATCTCTCCCGCTCATAAAAGAGCCAGATGGAAGAGTAATGGGCGAAAGGAAGAGACAGAACATTCTAGATCATTTAAATACAAATATATCTATAATAAAATATTGTTTTTGGTCTCCTGAATATGCAAATTACTTGCTAGTGTAAACAAAAACCTTGGCTAAATGTGGCGCTCTGGCACCCCTGAGTGTTAGCTTAGGATCAGTTTTATATTTATAGTCCATGCTGGTTTATTAAGCCATCTCAGTAGACTAAACTGGAATAATTATGATACCACTGATAGGGGCATTTATGTCCTCCAAGATAAATTACGAATAGACTTCACTGTTTGCCTCGTTTTTAAAACATGCATTGGCATAGATGACAAAAATGTATTAAATAATGTCTAAATTCACCTTTTCCTAGAACTCCCATCAAAGTCAAATGGAAATCTTGGGAAGAGAGACTTGTTTTCTCTCTTCAGTGGCCCTTTCTGTTCCCTTACCCTGGGGGAAAAGAAAAGTGGAAACAACCTTAGACCATTGTATCTCTATTGTATTACTCAGTTTCTAATTATAGGACAAGCCGAAAATTTGTAGTCAAGTAACATATTCCCTTTGATTAGAATCATAAAAGCGGCTGTCCTGTCACTTTAATTTTCAGCAACATTATATGGATACCCATATAATATAATTTCAGAAAAGAAACGTACGCTCATTTATTTCCTCTGCAAAGATAAATTGAGTGAATATAACTTACGGTTATAAAACAAGAATAATAGCTTCTTAGATTGCCCTTTAATCAATCATACACTTATTTTTCAAGAGGCTCATCTATTTTATTCCGTGATTAATAATGTTGCAGCATGAGAACATTATTGGGTCCCAGCGGGGGAGATCCTAGATGCTTTTAGCTGCTTCGGAATGGTCAGTTGGGGTTCATTATGGGCTGATATTGAACAATTTATAAAATCTTGTCTAAGCGTCCGCCAGCTCCGATAGACCGACGTGTCTGAGGATGGGAAATTGCTGGACCAGTTGATATTGACAAACGGATCTCTCTCCGGTGGCTTTTTGTGCTGTAGAAAATTAGTCGCCTCTTGCTGGGGTCTTGTTAGAAAGGGTGTCTGAAAGTAATCTTCGGTATTTGGGGGAAAGCCTGCAGGGCTTTAACTGGACAGAGGGCCATGCAGGGGGGCAGGGAGGGTGAGATGGGGGGAGATGCAGGTTTCACTGTGGAGAGAACTCATTGTGTAAGGAAACCAAGGTCATAGTTTTCTTATGCTTTTGGCTTCTTTGGGATACATTAGCATTTGGGGATCCTGGTGGCAAAGGACCTTTGGGGCATAGATGGACTTTTCTCCTCACTCTGCTTCCCTGAGTAGCAGAAATAGGGAAATGTTGGGAATTGAGCTATCTGTCGGAGAGGCAAGATGTTTCAAAGGGAAAGCTTTTTCTCTTTAACAGCGTGGTCTTGGTGGGGGGGAAAACTCCACAGGAAACCAAGAAAATAGCATTGCGAGGACCGACCCAAGGAAGGGAACAAAACAGTTCCAAGCTTGTTCGTGTCTTAGATCTAAAACCTTCATAGAATCTTGGTAAAGATACTCAGACCCTCACTCCCCAAAAACACTTTTGACTGCAGCTTGAAGATCTTAATTACATGACTTTTGCTCCTATTAGCTAATTTCACAAATCTGCAGGGAATAAAAAGGGACGCGGTCACAGTTGAATCTTGGTCCTGCGTAACACTAAGCTGTGTATTTTTGGAGACTTGGTGAAAAGCATGAAAGTTAACAGTATTTAACAAATTAGCACTGTAGCATCATAATGAAGGCACACGCTTGGGATTCTCTCTCTCTCTCTCTCCCTCTCCCTTCCTCCTTCCCTCCTTCTCTCCATCTCTCCCTCTCTCCCTCTCCCTTTCTCCCTCTCTCTCTGACAGTCTCTCTCTGACAATTTCTCCCTCTCTCTCTCAGGAACTTTGCAATGTGGTATAATACACCTCTGGCAAAAATAAGTGCCTCTGAGCATCTGTTGAGAAATGAAAGCAGCGGTAAAAGCTATCTCCTCTTTGGGGTTGGAGAGACTGTTTTACCTGGACAGACCATCCCTTGTCTCTGTGTCTTGCACATCCCCCCACCCTCCCAGTCCCAGCCCCTGGATCACTGGGACAATGTGCAGTTTTCAATTGGAGAAGAGTTCAGGAGATTAGCCTAGGCTAACACATCTTCTTTGATGTTTCCCTGCGAACAGATTATCGCAGATTTCCATAACTAACCCACCCTGCCTCTTGACTTGCATTTCCTTCTGGAAAACTTGATTTTTAAACAGAAGTCGAGGATATCAAACCCACTGGTCCTGGGAAGGCAGTTGTGTCTGTTGAGGGAGTTCTCTGCCCCCATGCAGATCATTAGGGTAGATGAGGGGGAAAAGAAGGAAAGAGATCGTCTTTCTTTGGGGAGGGAACTTAGCTGTTCAGAGGGGATTTTTGTTTCTGCTTTAAACTCTAGTTAATAAAATTAAGTAGCTCACAGACTTCCCCTTAACAGTGGCTGGGGTACAAGGAGAGAGGAGAGAGGCCCTGGAGCGGGGAGTGAGACCTCAGGGTGGGCATCAGGCCCCATTTCCTCAGCCAGGTCTGAGGTACAGGCCTCCAGCGCCTCTCACTAGGTCCTGGGCCATGACAGTCCCCTGAGCCCTTAGCAGTTTCCTTGGAGAGTTTCATTGGAGCTGATTTATCGGAATCTGAGCTTTAATCTCAGGTGGGCCCCAGGGGAAAGGCGCTGCCATGAGCCTGGGGGGCACTGGCCCCGCGACTGACCAGCCGCTCGCTGCCTCCCGAGCCCGTCAAATATCAACATTTGTTCTCAATAAAAGAGTTATTGTTTCTGCAAAGCTGCTCTGCAACTGCTTTTGAAACTTGAAAAGAACTTCATCCACCTTTGTCTGGCGGGAGGCAGGCCGGGCCAGGGCCAGGACGGAGGGGCCTTCGCCTTCCCAGAGCCCAGAAGGGGCTGCAGAGCCAAGCTTGGGGCGTCTGCCCAAGGCACAGGAGAGAAGAGTTGTCCCTGTAGGGTCATTGAAAAAAGCACATCTAGATATTGTGTAAAGGAAGCCAAAATAAAGTGGCAACTTTAATTTTTGGTTTTGTTTTGCTTCTGGCATGGCAGAATCAATGTACTTTATTTTACTCTGGTGGAGACTCGACAAGGAAAAAAAAATCACACCAAAACGAGTTTATTCTGCAAGTCAGAAGCAACCTTTTTCAAATTTCAATAGTATGCTGATTGATTAGAAATCTTCCCCCAAGTAACAGCATGTAATGATGCTCTACCACTCAACTGTCTTTAATTACCCAGTACATTGAATATCCCAAGGAAAACATCCGTGTGTTTTTTTTTTTTTGAACCCCAATTAAAGACACAGGCTAAATCTATAAAACATATGCTTTAAAATTATTTTTCATAAAAATAACATTTTAAGTGTTGATTTGTTTTTGTTTTGTTTTTTTAAAAAATTGTTAACCCAAGAGGCAATCATGAGTGGTAGACACCACAGCCGTCGAATTGTGGATATTCTGATTAACATCATTTGAATTTTGACAAATCGCAGAGGGGACATGTCCCTTTGATGAATTTTCAAACCTTGTGTAAGTGACAAATCCCTGCAGATATTTTAAAGGCTTATTATAAGGAGAAGTAATCTATGACAATATAATTTGCCAGTTGCTGAGAATTCTTTTCTATTGGCCATAATGAAGGCGTGTGCTCACCACGACAGCTCGGCTTAAAGGAGAAGTCTGTGCGGGTTGTCTTTACCCAGAAGGTCCTGACCCTCGGACACTGGTGGGCAGCGTAGAATACTCTTCAGACCTTAATCTAGGAATATGGGAGTCCTTGTGCTCGGATTCTCACCCTTGACTACTTGTCTGTGATCTGTTTCCCCAGAGAGGGCAGCGTCCCCAGCTCCACCTGGCTGCAGGTGTGACTCCTTTACCTTATCCACTGCTCCAACCAGAGCACAGGGTGAGAGGGCCCTGTTTCCCTCTTTCTAAGAAGGATCAAAATTGAATACATTATTTAGGAGAACTGTTCTGGCACTACCATAAAACAAAACAAAACAAAAAACCCACATGCACACCAAAAAAACACACCCCCCCAAAAAAGAATACAACAATGCATTATGAAATCACTTTCCTCTTTTCTTTTGCAATCCCAAGTAAAGCAAAGAGAAGGATTTTTTGTTTGTGTGCTTGACACCACAATAAGGAAGCATTCTTGTCTCTGTCCCTTTATTCTGTATAGGACTGAACACACATTGTTATTCTAAAAAAACAACAACAACAACAAAAAAAAAAAACAACAACCAACAACAAAAATACACTAGTGTGGGTTTAGGGCAGCCTCTTCAATGGGACCCGGGTTGATCTTCACAGGAAATACCCAGAGGGAAGAAAGAAAAACTCCAGGTGCTCAGTTTTTGTGGGGAGATAAATTGACAATTTATTGTGTGTAACTCCTGATCAATTATTAATCGTTAGTGTCAACAACAGGGTTATAATTACCTTCAGTTATTTTAAGGGCTATTCCCCCCCCCCCATTTCTGTGGTCTAGTAATTAGTTAATGATGTGGAGTAATGGGTTCCAGGAGTAGTGGATCAGACCCAATCCTTTCTCTCTGCCTCTGCGTTCTGGCGACCTTTTAATAAGGACAATTCTCACCTCACCTCCTGGATTCTTAGAAATATCCGCCCCTTCCTCCTTTCTCTTTCTACCAATAGGCACTTTTTTTTTTTAACCATAAATAATGATTGCAGAGGAAAAGGAGAAAATGACAAACAAATAGACCGCAGCTGGAATTAATAAGGTTGATCAAAGTGAGAGGGCCCAGCGGCACAAAGCGG